AGTGGTTGTCTTTTCTGTGTCTCCTTCCTTAAATGTTCAGCTGGTTCCACCCATAACATTAGTTTTTGTTTACGGAAATTCTGCTACAAGTATTATTAGGCCATTTATTACAAAACGCGATAACCCCGACGGTGCGATCAAATGCGAGTGCCCACATCTTCACGATAAACAATTGTTTTGTGTCCCGATATCTTTTTTTTTTAAATATAAATATTTATAGATTCGTTTCTTGTATAAGTTAGGCGATAACATCTGAAAATATTGATTGAATTTAAAAATTTGACATGCAAAGTTTTGTTTTATAGTATCTAATACTTGGGCCACATGGGCAACTCGAATGCCATTTACAACGAATGACATTCGTGTGATCAACGATCGGCTCGCGATCTGTCGCGCGGGGAGCACTCCACGCTTGGAGTGTCGCGCGCTGATTGGCCGATCGTTCAAATGTCATTCGTTGTAAATGGCATTTGAGTTGCCCGTGTGGCCCAAGTACAAAATCACCCAACTAGTTGCTGTTACTTCTAACCGAAAACTGCGGCAGCGGAGGCCCCCTTATCAGCATAAATCACTGCAAGTAAAAAGAAGTCATGCTATAAACTCACGTCAAGTTATTTTTGTCTTGTTTCAACTTAAAAATAAAAGCCATGTGACACGCGCGAACGATAGTCGTGGGGGAGAGAAATGCTACTAAAGTGAGTTCGTTTGAATTCAAGCAAACGTGTTGGTTGGAGTCCAAACCATTTTTAAGTACATAGTCACTTTGTGTATGAAATAAAGAAAATTTCCTTTAAAAAAATTGGCATAACTAATTTGTAAAAAAAATGTTGATACGAGCTACCGCATGATAGAGTGTATCAAAATCTTGCTATGATTTATGTCTACAACTTCGCCGTCGTTCACAAACTGTTGCTATTTCTCACACCACTTATACCGGTTTACACAGTATTGCAAACAATTTTTACAAGAATACTGCTCTTTTATTTCTTTGCAAGCTTACAATTTATTGTTGGTGACGGAATAAGTTTTCAGCAGATGCTCCGCCCCCAATTCCAGCTTTCAGGATTTGATAGCACTTCGTCACACGCGTATCAAAAGCACGGCGAATGGCAAGGAACAACTGCTGGAGGCTGTGCTACTACTGAATTCTTACTCTGTCACTGACCATTGATCAGTTCGGCTTCATATTCAGGTTATTGTAGTGGACCAATTGTTTTTGACAGTAACTTGAAACAACTATGAGTCTGTAGGGAAATCATCACAGTATCTGGTGGTATGTTTATTGTAATATAAATATCTATGAGGAAGGTTAAATGTTCCAAAGTTCCTAAAACAAAGCCTTTTTAATGCGATAGCATTCTTAAAAAGGTAGAGAAACGAAATTTTTGCTCTTATTTCTCAATTTAGATATGTACTATGTTGTGGCGACGGCCGAGGAACACCAGTCTATACTATTGTTTCTGGGCAGCCGGCAGAAAATTCAAGAAAACTAATTTTAAAACAAACGAACGCATTTCAAGATTGCGCCTGGTGGCGATCTGTGAAGCTCCGTTGGAATGCCGCCATGTCATCGGCCTCCAAGAAGCAGAGCCAGTTCGCGGCAGTATATCTCTCTTATGGAATTAGTTAGCCCTGAATGTGACTTGGGGGAGAACGCTAACGAGTCTATTACGTGCATTCCACACCATCAAGATCCCCGTTCTTTGCAGACGTTAGGAGTTTGATCTGAGGATGCGGAGACCTCTGCCAGGCCAACAATACGCCCCCCCCCCCCTCCCCCCCCCCCACACACAAAAAAAAAAAAAAAATCGGAGACGCGTTTTGAACAATGCGCTCAAATATGGCACCCAGTGAATACCTTACAGCAGGAGTGGCCAGGCTGACCCGGCCTAAGAGCCGCAAACAAAACCAAGAAGCTTCCAAGAGCCGCGGAGGGGGGCGGGGGGGGGGGGGGGAATTTTTTGTACAGAGAAATACACTAAACTCGAACTACTTGCAATCTATTCTAGTCAAAAGCAGTCCCTCTGTACGTAAGGTAGCAGTAGCACAAGACCACCAAACCGCAACCTGCCTTTCGATTTAAAACGCGTTCCATTTCTCTTTTTGGGGAAGTGCTCGTGTGACCAAAAGGGAGCCGGAGGAGTTGGGGGTAGGGGGGGGGGGGGGGGGGGAGAGGGAGCGAGCCGTTCTGCCTTATAATCAGACTTGTATACGTTACTGAACAAAAGTAACCGATTGTAATTACAATTACAACCTCGAAAAAGCAATCGAAAAATTACTCTAAAGTAATCGATTACTTCCCACGTTACTTTTCATTCAAAAATCTTTTTTTTTTTTTTACGGCAGCATGATTTTCGGGGTCTTGCCGCTCAGTTGTTCCGAAAAAAAGAAAGAAAAGAAAGCCTTGACCGTTTTTGCTTAGAGCTGAGTGAGTGACGTCAACACACCCAATCTCTCTCGTGAAAAAAAGAAGAGCGCTGTTCGTATACATTGCTCGCAAGAAACGCTGGATGAGGTCATTTTTCATATCCGGACGTTGTCTCTGGAGCACCAAAAAAGAAAAAAGTACCCAGGAAACGAAGCATAGTGAAGCGGCCTACTAATCCTTGAGTAAGCTCTTCCTCTACCCCCCCCCCCCCCCCCTCCCCCTAAAAAAAAGGAATTGAAAAAAACTGAAATGGGTAATTTTGTAATCGATTACAGCAAAAAAGTAATTCAATTACAAGGATCGTTACTCCTTTAAGGAAGTAATTTAAGCGTTAAAAAATTACAGTAAAATGTAATCAATTACAAGTGGTTCATTACTTGTAACGCTTTACGTACAAGTCTGCTTATAATACACATAGCTTACAGGTGTCGCCATTGCTAGCTACTGAAGGTTCATTTACTGGTTCCCTCGAGCTGCGGTGAACCGAACGCTCGTGGCACATAAAATACTGGCATGGCCGCGAATGATGTTATGGGCAAGCTATGTATAGGCGTACTGTCCTCGGATATTACTACTAGGCGAGATTGTCACACGTTGACGCCACCAAGCGGAACAACGCTAGCACCTACAACACCCATGGCCGTGCGGGGGCCATTGACGTCACGAGCGCGATATCCACTGCGATTCTCGATGACCGATTTTGAAGCGAGAGGTAGAGATCCTGATTTAAAAAAAAAAAAAAAAAGACGAGGACAGAGCAAGAAAATATGTACGATAAACAAGCGCTCACTCGCAACTGGTATACTTATTGAAACCTCAGAGTGACCGCTTGTCCGTCGTACCAGTTTTCTTATCCTATCCTCGTTTTTTGGGCGTTTTTAAATCAGAATGAATAACTAGCAACTAGCCCAACTTTCCACCCTTCTCAGAGGTACAGAGCTCACGGCCACTTCATTTCATTTCCTGACCTCTTTAAAGGGATACTGAACCAAACATTTTAGTGTATATAATAAGTGGTGCACGATCTTTCCACGAGCCAGCAGCCGCCAGTCAGCGCGAGCACGCGCAGAGAAACTAACGTCCTAATTCTCAAAAAAATAAAAAAATTAGTCGTTAGTTGTTTATACAGCAGGACTTTAGTCTGCGAGAACATGGTGACTCAAAGTTCTCTATTTACGCTTAAGATGACAGTGAAATGTGTGGGCTCCGGAGGAAATGAGAATGAAGACAGGCTTTCCACCTCCACAAGTGAAAGCTACGTGCTTGTTAGACTAATGAATCGCCTACTTTCTATATCACACCCCGCTCTGGAGGTGAAAAGCCTGTCTTTTCTCCTTTTACCCGGAGCCCACGCATTTCACTGTCATCTTAAGCGGGAATCGAGAACTATGACGTAGAATCTCCTCCACGTACCCTTATTTTTTTATTCTTTAATGTGTTTTTATTCGGCGAGAGAGATTCAATATCCAAACAATTGTTCGTTTAGTTTTTTGTTGCGGCGTTTTTCAGCTGCATGAGACTGCTATCACTATATGGAACATATATTTTCGTACCGAATCGAAAGAGCCAGTAGGAGAGAACGAGCAGCCGGCGCAGATTCCTTGGCTAATCAGCTCGTTTCGTGCGAAGTTTGGCTAACACTGTAAACCTTGTTTTATTGGGTGAAATTATACATGTTGTCGAGCTAAGCAAGCGCTCATGTTGCTAAAGTGTCGAGGTGCGGGGAATGGTGGTTACCTGTTTCCTACTCCGGTACTAAAGCGCTGGATAATAAAAATAGAATATCCAGCGCTTTATCCCAATACAACATCCACCACTGTAAATGGGGTGCGAGTTTTATTATTATTCCAAAGAGAAAAACACTGAGGAAGGAATGGCTCGCCAGGTTGGAACTGGGCGATCCAAACTCGAGCACACCTTCCGTGAAGACACCTGAATGAAAGCCACTTCGTGTACCCTATGGTAGTCCTATAGTGCTCTGTGAGTGCGGGTCTCACTTTACTTCAAGTTCGCAATAAAAGAGTGGAATGCATCACCTGACACAATTGTTTCTACAAATAACACTACTACACAGTGATGTCCCGTTAATACGGACACCTTCGTTCCCGTAAAACATTGTCTATAATGTGAGTTGTCCGTAATAACGAGAGAAAATTGCATGCATTTTCCTAATTTGTCCCCGAAAGTGGTGTCATATATGGCGGGGTTTCTATATTAGGGAGTTTTAGTGGATTGTTTTCAAAGGCCCGCTACCGCTACGAGCGCGCGCTTCAAAGCATGCGTCGAAGTGGCAGCGCGAGCTCCCGCTACGATTAGCGTGGCCTGAAAACACGATATACTAAAACTCTCTATTAGCGGGGTCCATATTAACGAGACATGACCGTATTTGTAGCGACTGCTATTTTTTCTTTCTAGCCCCTAAAATTAGATTACAGTGTCTTGGAATAATGGCAATGGTGTGCTCATTGATTTATTTGAAATATTTATATATTTTTTCAGTATGCCAACTCCATTACGTATTACTTCTGCAGGTCTCAAAAAATTATGATGATGATGATGTGTGTATCTACAGTGTCGCTGTTGAGCGTGGGGTCGCCCTTCAAGGGATTCCTCATCAAGGCCTTTGACGAGAACGAAAAGGACCTGGGCTCCTTCAGAAGCACCGGACCCGACGCGAAAAAGATGACGCACTGCGCCGGAATCACGCACACCGACAACGACGACAAGCGCCACGTCTTGGTCAACTGGGTGGCTCCGGCCGATCGCGCGGGCAAAGTGCATTTCAAGTGAGGAGCTCCGCTTACCTTCTTCAATAGACCTGGATGGATGGGAGGATGCAAGGCGGTTCCTCTCTTTAAATCGGGCGGTGACTCGCGCCACCTAGCCAAATATATTTTAAGCAACGAGGGCCATCTAGAGAGTTGGGGCGTAGGAATAAAAGAATCAAACCATCTAACTTTCTTGAGAGAACGAAGAAAAGGTGGAGCCGAGTTTTCAAAGGGCGAGGACACGAGAGAAAGTAGAAACTGTGTGTCGTCCTTTGCCCTTCATTCGGTTTAGGCCATACCGTTTACCCTATAAAAACTTGAAAAACACTTCAGAGTTAATTTATCCAAACTACGATATCAATTATTTCCATCTCCTTCGCAGCTTTGGAATTTGCTATGTGATCTTAGGGTTATATCTGCAAGTAAGTTTGCAATTGTTTGAGACTAACTCGTAATGCTGGTAGAAACTTAACCTACCCTGAAGAATTTCTAAATATATTACTCTTCCTTGGAATTCATAATGGAGATTACGTGTCTTGTGTTGGGTACCTATGGGCGTGAGATTAAGTGGGTAGCACGAAAATAGGAAAGCTTCGTATAGCCCACTTTTTCTATTGCTACTTTTTTAGTTAGCCTCACCAGGCCCTTTTTTTTTTTTTTTTTTTTTGCCGGTTGCCTCTTTTTTTTTTGCGTATGCTAAAACACCCTGTGGTTTTGTAGGGGTAGCTAGCTGGTACTGCCTCTTTACAATGAGGAATATTTAGCAAAACTATTTTAGGCACTGGTAAATTAGCGTTTCGCACAGATCAATGAATCGGCAACCTCTGTGCTTAATTGTATGTGGCCATATCTTGTCAAATGGTTCGAACTAGAACATTTTATTTTTCACGGTGGAGATCGAATAATAAAACTATATCATAATGTAATTCACAATTTTACTATCTTTTACTGCTTGCACAATATAACTCCAATTAAATATTTAAAAAAATGGGGGTCCAATCCACGGCTGTGAAGGCGGTTGGTCAGCGAAGCTGTGGTATCACTTGCAACGATTGCCTACTGCACTATACGAAATGCCGCCGCCGGTCGCAGCACGCCGCCGCTGGTCGTATTGCCGTCTCTTTTCCCTTTTGCCGCTCCTCGTATTCACGCTGCCCCTCGGGAGTCCTAACTATGCGGTGCCTATTCATCGCGGTGCTGCAGCAACAATGAAATCAGTTGCTATACTCCGTTTCATCTTACGTTTAGCGCAGAGGACGTTACGAGTCATCGGAGCCAATCGGAGGCCATGAGTGTCACATGACCTTAGAGAGGGGGCACAGCGACGCACGGAAAGCGTATCACGGGCCACGTCCACAAAACGGGATTGGCTAAGATAGCTCGTAGCATCCGCTGCGTCCGGACGTAAGGTGAAACGGGGTATTGGCGGGTTCTTCTTTTATATATGAAAGGCTGGTGACGTCACTCCCTACGTCGCAAGCTGCCGCCGCCGCGGCAGCTTGGGCAACAGTAATCTTCACCAGGAGCGTATGCGGTGAGCACTACGTGCTTCGCATTGTATTCAGGAGCTCCTTATCATTCAATATATGGTTAGGATACTTGTTTTGTACTTATTCTTTATTGAATCGAATGTCGTGCTGTATGTTGTATGCGTGCTGTTTGTACTTTTCGCTTCAATCTTCGGAAGTCTTTTTTTCCGCGAGAACGCCGACACGAAAACACACGCGGGGAGAAGGAACGTGCTTCGCATTGTTCGCAGGAGCCGTTATCATCCATTATGCGGTTTTCACTTCACACGAGGGCTTCGAATGACGTCAACCCCTTTCAAAGCAGCTGCAAACCTAATCTTTACCTGAACGCGTGGGAGGGTGTTCCTATTGTTCACGTACGCGCCTTATCATCCATCATGTGGTTTTGATGCTTGTTTTGTTGATGCTTCTTTGCGGTTTTTTTTATTGAAATGGATACTGAGCTGTGTGCTGTATGCATGATATCAAAGGAGATAAGCTATTTTGCCTTCAATTGTTCGCCGGGAGTTTTTGGCTTACAATGCCGACGACACGAAAATTTCCTTGGCTGGTAGAGGGATACAGCTTCGCTGTAAAAATCATTTCGATATTTTATTTACCGCTTCTGTGATTGATTTTTACCACTTCTGATTGATTTTTACCTGAACATTTATTTTACTCCAAGCAACATATTTTTGGTAAGAAAGATTTATATGATGGAGACAATCTAAAAAGTGTGCGTATGAGGCAAACACATATCAAATCTTCAGCCCACATTCTTGCTGCATTACGGCGAACGAAGTTAACATAGATAGAATTAGCAGAGCGTGTTGGTTAAACATCTTGGTATGCGAACGCAAAAGGAGACAAGGGACACACAAAAGCACAAAAACACGTCAAACACGGACAGCGTCCGTGTCTGACGCGTTTTTGTGTGTCCTTTGTCTACTTTTGCGTTCACATGCCAAGAACAAAGTGAAATTGTCCACTAAATAAAATAATCGAGCAGCCGGTATTCAAATAATACAACGTGGATCACCTCAAGACTGAAGAGTTCTCAACTCAACTGAACCTTACGACTTAATTTGCTTTACAGTGGATAAACATTTTATACATATTTTGTTTTGTCTGCGGGTTTACTGATATCTGAATACGCTATTTCTGAAAATAGTTTAATAACAAAAGAAGTGTTACTTCGAGACGAAGTAATTAACAAAATATAAATGTTATCTAAACTAGACAGTTTGATTTAAATCAAGTACACATCTTCTTTTTTCCAATTCTTCGAAGCTATTTTTAATTTTATTTTTATTGGAATTTGTACTTTAATTTCCCTATAGTAATGAACGTAATAATTTAACTTTGAAAGATGTGTGTGTGTGTGTGTGCGTGTGTGTGTGTGCATGTGCGTATGTGTGTGTGTGTGTGCGCGCGCAGAGGCATAGGAGTGGCGACAAACGCCATCCTTTTATACGCAATCATAGTTAAGTCTCGATATGTTTTTATTGCCGTTGTTGTTTGCCTTGTTATTGCAAACACTGGTAGCCTCAAATTTATAAAACAAAAGAAGAAAATTGCAGTGTTTATTTTTATCTTCCCAGGTACTTCCTCATGTCGACATCCTACACACTTATATATCCACTACCTCGTTGCATCCTTGAGGGGAACCAGACATTGCATTGGCTTATAACGTTCACGCTTCTTGCCGAGTTTTTCGGTGTTCTTATCGACCAACGCCGCAATCTGGTTCGTCGCGGAGCAAGATCCACGCGAGAGCGTTCGGGACCTCGTGTCACAGGAAAACAGGTGTTGGTGTTGGCAGGAGGAGAAAATCCTGATTGGTCCATGGGGTAATGATGTCACAGCCAGAAGACCTCGCGCGGGAATTTCAAACAAACCACAACGTTCAAGGGAACGTGACGTCACGCGTGGAATGAGTGGTTAAAACGTGACATGTCATGCGAATTACAGGTCACCGCGTGTCTCAAATGGTTTCACATAATAATGTAGTTCATTTTCCTTAAAGAAAAATTTCAAGTGTTTAGGAGGGATTAGAACCCCCGAACCCTCGGTTGCGAGCCAGACACGCTATTGACTGGGCCACGTAGAAGACGCTCGCACGTCTCGGGAACGAGCAGGAGTTTATATATTTAGCAGTCGCGTTCCACTCTTAAAGGAGAAGCTTAAGTGTACTCCAAGTTTTTGGGATGTTGTAACTCGCCATACCCCCATGTTTCTTGAGCTGTCAGAGATTACAGTAACTAATATCTATGGCTCAATAAAGGAACAACGTGGTGTAATATATCACCTTGTACTTTATGTGAGACCGTCCAGGCAAACTTATGGTTCTAACTGTGTGTTATTCTTGTTGTTGCTTTGTCTGTAGGGTCACCGTTGTAAAGGATTTCAGCAACTTCTATTTAGGTCTGGCCGGCACACTTCCTAGACTCAACTTGATCAATTGGCAGGAAGAGGACGAATATTCGCACCCCTTGGAAAATTATTTATACACAAAATGAGGAAAGGAACTCCGCAGCTGTGTTAATTTACGTGTGGCATGTGTTTGGCTGAGTGCGAAATATTGCTTTGGTTCCTTGTCTGGCAGTCGCGCTATCTGTATCAAAAATATAATAAAATATGTATTTATGCATGTATGCGTGTGTTCCTGAGGATTTATTTGTCTTCTTTTTTTAAAAATATTACTATAAATAGCGACGTTGTGTAGAGGTAGTGGTCATCAGAGCAACCATATTGAACATGCGGTCCTTATTTTATTTTTAATAAAGAATGCATCCAACATAAAAAATTGCTATCTAAATATGCACATTGATATACGTGAACACGAGGAAAGGAAAGGTAATAAAAATTTGATGAAACAAAAAATCGAATAACAACTAACAGGCTCCCAGCGCTCTTCTTTTTTTTCTTTTTTTCTTTTCTTTTTAGGTATGTTAAGCCATCCTAGGTGTGTAAAAGAAGAGTCGAGAGTTGGATCGGACGTGCATTGAGCGACTGCGATGCCGGATTAACGTTTCACGACACGGGCGGCGCTTGGTGTTCCTGGTGTTTAGAGTGTATCCAACTGACTGTCTGAGGTGCGGCTTAATTGCAATGCTTGCACTAGCTGCAAAGAGGAGACAAAAGCGTCAGCTGTCTGCAAAGCCTCTTTGGTAGAGCCTCTCCGAGCGCCATTCTCCTCATCACTCTGTCACGTACGCATGCACACGACAGCTCTGATAAAAATCACGCAGGCCCACGCTACGGCCTCACTGCGCGGCGGAACTGATCAAACACAATATCGATTTTTAGAGCGCAGCTCTTAGGCGCCCGTTTCCGGCTTGAGCGGCGTCGGCGTCGGCGTCGCCGTCGGCGTAACCGCGCGGTGCATTATGGGAAATGTCCCATAATGCACCGCACGAGCCCCACCCCCCCCCCCCCTCCCCGGAGGATATTGCAGAATGAGGGGAGGAGGAGGGGTATACCCTCCTCTCAGTACCCTTCCCTCCTCCTCCTCAAGAGCTGCTCTCTAATTCGGCGTTATAGGGAGTTGTAAACGGCTTTCGCTTTTTTTCGCATTTTATTAATACTACGGATTATTGAGCGTTAACTATTGCCACTTCCGCTGGAACATCAAATGATGATTTTTCATCAAAATAGTAGTTTTGAAAACAGACTTTTTTATTTGGAAGGAAAGGCAAACAGAAAAAAAAAAGCAAGGATAGCCGGTTCGGTCTTAATGTGTCACAACATGTAAGGGAGAATGGGGAGGAATGGGACGGTTTTCACTCTATACATTTTTGTGTAGTTTAATGGGCACACAGAAACAAGTTTAATGGTCCCATATGAAGCGTGAAAGAGCCTTCACGTCGGTTGAACAGCTTTTTGTCCTACTTCCTCTAGAAACTTAAAACAAAAATAGAAATGCCTGTGTCAAATTGTGTTTCGTTTTCTAATATTCGCTAGTGAAATTTTTAGCACAATTTTGCATGTGTCCCATTCCACCCTTTCCCTTAGACAGGAACGGGACACATGCAATATAGCGCTAAAATTTGTACAAGTGAACCTTATACGCAGACGGAGCTTAATGAGAGACAAAGCCCGAGTGAAGTTGTCCTTTTTTCCTCCAGTTACCCGTGGTTTTGGACCGGATATTAAGAGTGCGGTAATATTTTACGCAAAGCAAATATCTGGTAGCCTAAATTCAATATGAACAAAAATTACATTATTCACCATCATCTCAGGTTAACTTGAGGGTTTATCTATCAGTCAGAGCACCAATCTTTATAAAGAGAAAACTGAGCCACTGTCCCATTTCTCCCAAAATGCCTGGCACACGGTAAGTTGCCAATTGTGGAAACAGGTGAAGCTTAAAATAGCGGTGGTTAAAAGCAATCATTAACACATCTTTCGGTGGTTAAAAGCAATCATTAACACATCTTTCCAATGTTAGTTTACTACGGCCGTTGGCCAAACCGTTTTTGGTTCAAGAATCGAGGAAAACAAATGTGCGCTACTTTCTTTTAAGTGTCGCGGCAACCACTCACTCAAATAATGTTTACCGCGCCAAGCAGGTGCGCCATTAGAGTCGAAAGTACCGCTACCACGGCGTTATCAATCTAGCAGTTCATCAACTTCTTGAAACTATGCATCGAAGAAATAGGTTGACTGTCCAACTTCTCCCACCGCCTCATTCTTCACCACTCTATTAGATTGTGAGCTCGTTTTTTTGTTTCTTAATTTTTTACGTAAAATTTATTATAAAAGAAGCCTATGCAGGAAATTTCCATATATAAAAGGGACATAGAGAAAGAGCGTCATAAAATGTGCGACACGAAATTGACGTCATCCGCTAAATTTGGCTGGCTTCCGTCGTGCCAAATCATGCGGCAGCATGGTCACGTGACGTGATCTTACGATCGTTCCGGAGCCAATCACATTGCAATATGAGGAGATAAGAACGCATGAAGAAATAATCGGGGAAGAAAATACATGATCATCTGTCTCTTAAGCCTTCGGTGAGCATTATTTATCTGCATTGTGATTACGTGCTCGGTGAAAGAAACCTAGTTGTCTTGAGGAAACAAAAAATCCTTTTTGTCTGGATGTTTTTCTTTCTTCTTTTTTAAGTTTCAATATAGTTTCAAAGTTTTAATATATATATATATATATATATATATATATATATATATATATATATAATAAAAGTTTATTTAATATATATACTAACCCTTTCCCTACCATGGACTACCTGAGTTCGTCCACACTGTTTGTACCGCTCCCCTCGAAGACGAGCCGGACTCGTCCACGTTGATTCGGGGTCCAAGACGCTACCACGGACGAACTGGGCTAGTCCACGTGTTTCTAGTGAGCTTTGCCGTGGATAGATGGCACTTCACGGAAAATAAAAACCTGGTAAATTTCTGAATTTGACAGAAAATTGTTCCAACGCAAGCAACAGGGGATTTAAAAAGTGGCGACGTCAACTTCTGGTCGCTGCGTTTATAGTGACGATCTTGCCTCAAACTTCGGGCGAAAACGAAGATATTGTAACGTCTCTTCAGATTCAGAAGACGAGGAAATGAATCTTTCATCGAACAGCGACAGCAATGCAACTGATTTATTGGCTTTGAGCTCAGACGACTCCGATTTCGATGAGGACATCGTGTCGGTATGGACTAGAATCAGTGTAGAAAATCCCCCTCCAACCCCTCCACGTTTTCCGTTCACTTTGCGTGCAATGTGATGTGAACTGTTTGCAGTACTGCTACGCCCGGCCTGAACGTCCATGTACAAGGTGATGTGTACTGTCCGCGATAATGCAGTGAAGCGGAACTTTAGCCCCTTTTTCTTTTGCAATGTGTTCAAAGATTTCTCATAATAAATATTTTGGCATTTGTTTTTGGACTTTGTATTGCATATTAAATTTATAGGCACATAAAAAAATTCGGTACTTTCAAATTGTTTTGTTTTTTAATTTTTGTGGTAGGCAAAGAATTAAATAAACTTTTATTTTTGCAATAAAAGCAAATACTGTTCGTTCTACAAGAATCAAATCGTTTACAGAACGAGGACTGGAGGCTAAAACGCTAAATCAGAGTAAAGAGCAAGCTTGAGCGATCGTCAGAAGCCGACCGTTTTCACGGTCGATCTACGTCGAACAACCCACACCGGCCCCCGTCTTTTTATTGTTTGTGTATTCTTTACGCACAGACATAAGCCGAGCGAAGATAGCTCCCCGTAAAACTGCCGCGGTAGTTCTATACCGTCAAAAAAACGGGGTCTCATCATCTGAAGCGACGACCCGCGAAGACGAACACACATCCGCCGCCCATACGTATAGAAACAAAACAGGGATTGCAGCGAAAAAAGAAGTCCGTCATGAAGCAGTGAGCCCGGACTCGCTGCCATTCAAACCCAAATCGTCGCCACCGCGCCACCGTCATGCTTACCTCCAGCTCGGTAGGCGCTCGATCAGAGGCGTTGCGGCGCCGTCGAACGGCTCTATAGGATTCAGAGCGAAGAATACAACATGTTCGCATTTGCGCCAGAATGGCGTCCTCGCGAAATGGGGGATGAAGATCGCGCTTGCCTGAAACCGAGCCGTGGCTATCCGTGTCGCCACCGCCGAGTGACTGTGAAAATTATACCAACTATACTTCCTATTGGTGTGGTTCCGACAACCACCGGTTGCGGCGACGACTGCGTGCTCGCGTCGGTCGGTTAGGCTTAGGGGGGATCACGAAGCGCCGAAGCAGAAAATGGGGAAAATTCGTGCGTTGCTTCAGAAACAAAACGAAAAGGACTGAATCTCAAATTATATATTTTGCGGAGGTTACCGAACGGTACCCGGATACGCTTTGTCTGCTCTCCAGTATGGCGATTCAATATGGCGCAGTTTGCATCGGAAGCAGGCGACTTTACGATGTCAGAGCGTATGCGTTCTGCCGAAGTGAACCGCGGCTTTTCTTTTTCTGCTGCTGGTTCGTTGCTTTTATATAGCGTCGCTTCTGCTTCTTAAATGTGTTCCCCTTGCATGGCGGATCTCAGCAGGGATGAGAATAACTCGTGGCGTAATTTTAAGGAATGTCGTAGAATAGACTTATTCAGCAAGTTTCGGTAAGGGGTATCCGGACATTTTGGTGTAGTGCATTTTCTGTGTAAGGCGTTTCGGTGCGGTCGTTTCGGTGCGCGAACTTTTCGGTACACGGACTTTTCGGTGCACCGACTTTTTGGTGCATAGACTTTTCGGTGCCCGGACATTTGGGTGCACGGAACTTTCAGTGCACAAACTTTTCGGTGCACGGAATCTTTGTTGCAGGACATTTCGATGTACGGACGTTTCGGTGCATTGGACTTTTCGGTGGACAGAATTTTCGGCGTAAATATGAGTTTCAATTTGTTTTCTCCAGTTTCAAGAAACACGACGTGAAATAGCACGGATACCAGAGGAATGCATTTGGAGAGCGAGACGAGAACTCCGAAATCTGTCAACTTGCCGTGCAGCCAACGCTTATCATACTTCTCATAC